GAGTACAACTCGATTTTCCGAAGATCTTCTTTCTTTTCATGTATATTTTAATTTGAATGTTTGTCTGTTACTTTTAATTAACACGAACTATGGACTTGCCCGACTGTTATTCCCGAAGCCAGCACGGCAGAAAAAGAGAAGGCAATCGACCAGGCGGAGGACTGTATCATCACTTGGCAAATAACTCACCAAAAGCTTGCGAATATTCATTGATTCGCTTGATGAGAAAGTGTATCGATATCCTGCTGGACACCTTTGCCATTCCGACAGACCAGCCAGTCCCCGAACCCAATACTACACCCCCTCGGATGTACCACGTTCGGTAACAGTTTATGATCCCGAACCTTTAGACCATTAATTGTTCCCAACACTCCGCACAAGCCATGTTCGTCGAACGACACAGCCCAAACAGGTCAATCAACGCCATAAATGGTACTGAACTACTTGAAGGGGAGCTGTCGGGAATATCTCCATTCTCACGATGTCTGATTGCACAGATAGGCGCCTGCGTGAGCTGCCATGGTGTCTGCCATGAAAGCGTGTACCTTGGCCATGAGTATCGATCTCTCATTAGATATGATTGGTCCAATTACTCCGAGACTTTCTCTTAAAACGGATCAATAAATATATGCAGCCTTTTGGTGAGAATGGAGGCATTCCCAACAGTCTTAAAAGACAATGCCTATTACCCTCGAATAAACTGAGCTATTGAGCTCTTATTTTGCTAAGGCTGGGGCTGGGAGGGCATGAATAAGCCCCGAATAGTTCACTTGTTGAATCAGCTGTAAAGAAACCCCGACTTAAGGGGAAGAAATGGGTGGTGGGGCGCTCGGAAAGGCGGCAGAAAAGACTTACAAATGAATACGATTATAGTGGTGGACCGCCTGTCGTGTGTTCATATGTCTCCTAACGTAAAATGCTCTTTTTTTACTGATTTCCGATACGTTCATCAAGTCACCTATATTCTACAGAAGAAATTCACGAAAGTATTCCTACCTCGATGGGAAGTACATTATCAAAATTCATACCTGAAGAAGGCGTACCTTTACGCTTTTTAGAACTGTTAACTTGCCGAATAAATTTGAATTGCATCCTCCGTTACCCTTGTACTCAGGGTTTCCAAACTGCAGGCTGTATGCATTCCCAAAATTAGCAAAGGTGAGAGTGTAGTGGCCTCTTGCAGCCACTTGGAACCCAAGATCAGC